GCTCTTCCGTTCGCTTCGCGCTCCTCCGCGCCGAAATACGGAATCGAAACATAAATAACGATAACAATAGGTCGTGATACGAAATATACAGCTTATGTTACAAGAGATAGAGGCGTAGTTATACCTTACGTCGCAAGTATACATATATGTATACCTATATACAGTAGACTTTGATCGCCGTACAACTTAGTTACCCTTAAAGATTGTATATACGTGTATCATGTACGGAAATTATGCCGTCTTGAGAGCCAAGATGGTTACATATTTACAATATTCGCGTATTCTTCACGCGTGCAGCAATTCGCTAAACGCCGCCGTGATCTTCGCGATCGTTCATTCACACAATTTCGAAATAACGCACGATGTTATTTGCGTATAAAAAAATACAAAACTAAAAAGAAACGATTTTGGAAAATATACGGAAATATATATATATATCAGATGTCTATATAACAAAAATTATTCGTCTAAAAATACCTATAAAAATATCTACATCGAATTATACAATTGAATATCCCTTTTCATGGTTTTCTTTTTCTTTTAAGAATTGCCATAAGAATCGATGTAAAAAATATATTCCAAATAAAAAATGAAAAAGAATAAGAATTGAACTTAAATGTATAATACGGTACCTTATTTTCGGCGCGTCCTCTGCAAGTGTAACAGATTTTTTGTTATGATATCGTTTCCTTTTCAAAGTGTATCCATAGGTGTATCTTGATTACCAGGATCGCGGCGACCCTATCGCTTCCGATCGCTGATCGAGGCAAGGATATACACAGGTCGGGGCCCCTCTCAGTCCCAAGGTCCGGTCGAGAGACAACGGAATCGTCGAGTCACGTGAGACGGCTCGAGTCCTCCGCGCTTGCCACCATGCTCGCCAAAGGTCGAGAGTTCAGAGCCGAGAGAGGCGGCGTATTCAGACTCTCGGGGAGCGTGAGCTTTACGTTTCTTTTCCCGCGTTTCTTTCGCGGCGCGGGAGAAAGACGGAGAGCAATTCGACTGCGCCGTCGAGAATACTTCTGACACCACAATTATCGTCGGTATTCACGCCGCTGGTTCCGCGAGTATCGTCAATACCGGCTCCGATATACTCCTTCCGATGCTGTGCGACGGACACGCGCGACGAAAATCGATCTCCGTTGCGTAAATATTTTATAACAATTTATCTCCCCTTGTGCATACAATAAATTTTTTTTTTTTTTTTTTTTTTTTTTATACAATCGTTATATATTCATCTCTAGCGGAATGGAGACCGGCTCCTTAAAAAATAATAAAGATAAGAAAGAGTATAATAATTAATAAATTATTAATATTAGTTTAATAAATATTGCACTTCTACATTCTTCTGAAAAAAAGAATGCTGTAACCAATTTTATAGAATTGGCGTATATTTTAGAAATCTAAAAAAAAAAAAAAGAAAAGAGATAATTTAAGTTGAACAAGTGGCACGATGGAAATCGATTCTCACCGCGCGTAAAGTTTCTTCATTTCTCCGTGAGAGAAGAATATTGCAAAGTGATACGAATCAATCACGCTTCGATTTCAATCGAGAAGAGCTCACTTTCATCGCGTGAGAAGGAATTGCACGTTTCTCCATAAAAAAAATTCATCCAATTTATCGAAACCCTTCACATTCGAAAATTCGAATTCTTTCGTCGTGGAGCCTTAGTAAAAAGTCTCAAACATTTTTCCATTAGGAAAATCACGGTACCAGTACTTCTCTAACGAGGTTACAAGAAAGCCGGCGACTACGAGGGCGACAGATCCTGAGCCTCCCTGCTGAGACTATCCGTGGGCGACGGGGTGGCCCTTCTGGACGGCGACGGCGACGGCACGGCCGGCGTCGAGGACTTGGGGGCGGTCGTCGTATGGTAGGGCGAGAATCGGTGGTGAGCCAGGGCGAGCGGTGACGGATAGAGGGGCCGTGGAGCCGCGGGACACGTTGGATTCTGCTGGGAGCTGGTGGCGGCCAACTGCTGCTGATGGTGCGCCGCCGCGAACAGAGTCGGACCAATTGACGAGGCCCACCATAGGTGACCCAGCTGTTGCTGTTGTTGTTGCTGTTGGTGCTGCTGTTGTTGTTGTTGCTGCTGCTGATGGCTGGTACCAGCCGTCGGCGCGCCAGGATAGACCAAAGCCGGACTCACCAACTGAGCGTAGGGACTGACGGCCACGGCCGCCGCCGCCCTTAACAACATCTGTGAACGCGCGGCCCATAAAGCCTTCTCCTCCAGACTAAGGTTGCTCACTGCGCCCGCCTGGAGCTGCTCCATTTCGAAAGGCAACCGATGCGGAAACCTCAATGACTGTTGCTCCGCTAACATGGATTCCATCGTCTCCCTAAAAGGGAAACTGCTCCATTATGCATACCGTTTTCTAGCTATAATTCTTCGAGAAATTCATTTTAAATCTTTATGCCTGTTTATACGGCATTATATTGATAAACGGTTTGTTTCACGCTTCCATTTTTAATTTTTTTCTTTCCTCGACACAGGCTTTTGTGTAGCTTTCTAAAATTAATGATCTTTCTTTAAAGCGGTAGCCGCTTAAACTTTGACAGGCCGACAAATATATATACACACACACACACAATTTTAGCTTTATATTTAAAGTATAATACTTCAAAATAGAAAAAAAAATAGAAAAGATATATAAATCTAATTTTTAGAGCAAAATCCGTTATAAAAGAAATTGATGTTAGATCGATATTAATTTTGTATACGCAAAATTTTAAATTATTTCATAATTACAGAATTAGTTATTGCCGTCAATAGACATAAGTCAAGCAACTCACCTCTCAAAGTCAGTAAGACGAGAAGAATCTCGAAAGCCCTTGGCGAACGGATTACTATCGATCTTGAGCTTCGTGATCTGTAACAAGCGGAAAAGAGATGGTCGATTAGTAACGTGGCGAATCGGGAGATCGGCAATCGAAGATCCGGTCGCCCTCGGATTCGCATTAAACATCGGGACGATCTCTCGCACATTAACCGATCTTATTACCCGGCGCTCAGCTTCGCTCGGGGAAAATTACGTCACCGTACGGTCAACGGCGCGTGGCGGAAAACGGCCGGCTGTTTCGAAACGGTTCGTTCCATCGATCGGGAGTCAACGGCTCGTAAAATTAGGAGAAGGCGGCGAAGCGACGTACCTACCATCGCAACCGGGGAAAGGAGAGGTGGGTGATAGGAAATCGGGAGGATTGGAGGGAAGAGATAGGGGGAACGCGTCGCTGATACACGGGTGAATCCTCGACTGTTACGAGAACGAATCGGGGGACCCAAATTTTTGTGAAAAATAATAGTGGAAAGTCGAGACGCGGTGGTTGATTCATCGTCTGAATCGAGTCAGATATTACTTTGAACCGAGATGGAATAAGCGGCCACGATATTGCTTGATACGAACACCGTACGACAGTTAAACCTTCGATAAAGTGTCTTGCACGGTAGATTGAACGTTTTTCGATTTATCGGCGGTCAAAAGAGCCGACTGTACTTCAGTAAAGTAACACGAGAAAAATTATGATGCGCAGGTATGTAACTATATTAAAACCAATATGTTTAAATGAGACTTTGCAAGAGAAACGTTCCTCTAAATCCTAGTATACGCAGCAAAATATTAAAGACAAAGCTATTGCGCATATAACACACTCTTCTGTAAAGTTATGGTTTTGCAGTTACAATACTTTCCATTGTCGTGTCCTTGATGTAGTGGTTTCTTTTATCAGTTTACTCAAAAAATACGTGATAATTTTCTTTCTTTTTACAATCCCCTATCTTTTCATATAATAGTGCCACTGAAACATCCTTTAGCATGTTAGCAGATCCTCTCGCTGCGAGGGCAAAGAGTGCTTTGTTCACGCTCGGTACTTGAAAAATCGACTAGCACGGTGGTCAATGGCAGGAAATTCGAAAAAGTTTGTCTACGTGTGTTGGGCTACACATCGTCACGTTTGTAGTAGGCCCTTAAGTGGTCGGACTGTTTTCCTTTCTCGTTCCGCTCTCGTCTGCGCCAACCCCACGGAAATCTACCCTAAGTCGGCTCTGCGCCCTAAGTTGGATGTTTCGCGTTACCTACGAGGCCCACCCACGATGCCGACGGATGCACAGGTGGCCTCGTTTTCTCGGCGTCAAAACCGGCAATGCCCTTCGCCTCGCGTACCCTCCTCCATCTTCTGCAAAATCGTTCGAGGACAAATTTCGTTGTCCGGAGGATACCTGTTCAAAAAACTGTCGCAAAGTTTTCAAACACAAAGAGACGTGTTGAACCGACGAGATTTTCCGCGCGTTTAAGCGCGAAACGAGTCAACATTCGCAAGATACGAAATGCTCACGACGAAGAACTCTGAATAAAAGTGATGACATTCCGAATAAAGATCTGTTACAATTTCTTATATTTATTTTATTTATCTTTTTTATACGCGCGCGCGATGTGTTATGTACTAATAGCAATTATAAAATAATAATAATAAAAAAACACTCAAAACATAAGTTACGGAGACGGGAAAAAAGAAGTGCGCGTGTCTTGGTTTTGAAATATAAACAGTCGTGAAATATAATTTGAAATAATGTATCAATCTTATCGTAAGTTATATTATCCTCTAACAATAAGTAAATTTTTAAAAAATTTTATATAAATGATGTGTATATTTTATAATTATAGAGATATTCTTATAAAAATATATTTTAAAAATAAATAAAACTATCACAAAAATGATACAGTTCATTATAGAAAATTGAAATTAATCTATGATGCTTGCACATCCTTAAAGAATTAATTATATCTGCGGTGAGTGTTACAAGAATACGAACGCACGATTTTTTTTTTTTTGATAAACTTTCCAGATGCCAAAGGTGTTAGTTGGCCGAAAGCAAGTTTAGATTTGGTAATTGGGTGATTAGACGGCGCGTTAATTAGCGCCTTCCCAGGCGCGCTGGCGCTCGAATACAGACGGAGAACATCGGCGGTACCACATAAAAATGTCAAACAAACGCAATGATATCCCTTGACGCGGACCCATCCAATTTCCGTCTGGCGAACCAGCAGGCATAAATCAGCCTTGTCTTCCGGGTCGAGTGTCACGGACGAGATGTGATGCGGTTCATCTGAACGACACGCTCCTACCGCTTCGACTTGGGGCACCGATGTCTTTCGGAAAGGTCCCCTCTACCCAAGACGAGGCACAACACGCGCGTATTTATTTGGAAAAGGGAGCCGCTTGTCGCAACTCCAGTTATCCGTAGGTGGTCCAATTAATCCGCACTGTTCCAAAACTCGGAAGCAAACGAGGCGTCGCATTTCCACGATAATAGTCCAATTAAAAGGAAAGTTACCGCGCTTTGATATTATAATTTAATATCACAAATTAGAATATTATTTAATGTTAATAATGTAAAATAAAAAATATTATACAAAACAAAAAGTTGTTTAACAATGCACTAATAAAGAGACAGGAATAATACTTTCAAAATTAATCTAATAAATTCTTTTCTCCAGATATAACAAAGCATGTCGTATCCTTTTATTTTCAAGACGGAGGATTCCCCAGAGAAAAGCGACGACTCTTATAACAACATCTGTAATCTATAATCGGCGCGCATATACAAGGCAGCCGTCACACTCGTTCCCGTCATACGTTTTAGCCGGATTTATCGGTAGTCTTGATGACTTTACGAGAGTCGCGGTAAATCAGTATTCTCGATAAGCTCGAAGATACGCGTCAGCATCTCCTTCCGCGTCCTGTCCGCCGCGAGAGCGAAGCTGCATCGGCGACCGTCCGGACTGGAAGTCATCGCGCGACTTTCAGTTTAACTACTCGTCGAAAGCTCGTCGCCGTTTTCGCGTCCTCAGAGGGCTGGGAGGAAAAAGAAGAGAAGAAAAAAAGAGAAGAGGAGGAAGGAGAAGGCAGCGAGAGGAGAGTGGCACTCTTGGTGTGTCGAGTGGGTGGTCCAATTACCCTACGGTTTCGCGCTCACGAGCAGCACGTGCAGACCCCGGGTAATAAGACTCTTTCCTTCAAAGCTGAGGCTAAGCCGATGCTAAGCCCGGGGCCGCCTCGGTTTTAGTTACGATTCCGCTGACATCATTAGCCAAACATCTGGCCCGCCACCATCGCCACCATCACCATCGCCGTCAGCGTCCCCGCTCTCTCGACAACATCTCGCCACCTCCGTCTCCGTCCTGCATCTCCTCTCTCCTGTCTGCATTCGCTTCTCGTCATCGGTTTGCCTGACGATTCGCGGCGGCCTCGTCGTCGTCATTTTACGAGCGGATCGCCGGGCGATATTCCGTCTTTGAAATCCGCGAGACGGACCATACCGGACGTGAGCTTAGAACGACTTCTGGTCTTTGATATCGGCGCTTTACCGCGTTGTACCGACCGACATTCTCGTCGAGCTCTCTGCTTTACGATGGATTTGTTGCTTCGCAATGGCGTGGAGTTCGCACGCTGTACAAATTTAATTAAACGCCCCATGCTTGCCCCCCTTGAAAATATTAATCTTCAACTTTTTGAATATCTTTTTGAAATTTTTCTAAAATTGATTTTAAATGCAGAATAAGATTTTGCATTATCTATTCAATCTTAATAATTGTAATTGAATGAAAAGCGATAGATATTTTCAAGTGCTTATAATTCAAAAATGATTAAAGTCTTTAAAATTCTTTTCTTAGAACACTGCAAAGTGTGAAATATAGGTCTTATTGTATACAGATATAAAAATTAAAATGTTATGAAAACAATTTTATATTAGACAAAGCTGTGAATTAAATCGCCGCATTTAATTCGATAATCCACGCGGAAAATCGCCCGATCTATTCCACACCGATTGATGAAATTTCCGGCAATAGTGTTGAAGTCCCGACGCCACTGGGACCGGGCTTTCCGACAAACACGGTCGGCCCGTCGAAGTTATACGATTTCGCTGACACGGCTCGGCCAAACGCTTGGACCACTTCCCAAACCGATTTACGATGTCGGCTGTGTAGCGCGCAGCGAGTGGTACACCGCGTGATAAATTCGCCTCGCATGCTCGCCGTTCTGCTTCGGCTCGGTAGCCCCCAAGCCCCGACGCCCGGACAGAGCGCATCGCCCGCCGCGTGCGAATAAATCCTCGGCGAGAGACGCGTCCCGAGAGATGACGCTTCCCGCCACGCATGGGAACGCATGCCGTGTCGTGCGCGCGATACGCGAAGTGCGAACGAGACATCCGGCGCGCTCGCGAGTCATTAGAGAGGACGAGACGATTAAGATTATCACGCGTAGCCAATGTGCGTAATGGAGTTTTAAGCGTGAACATGCGTGAGAAAAAAAAAAGAGGAAAATAAAAAAAAACAAAATTATATGAAATAATATCAAATAAAAAAATACCAATACGAAGTGTGCGGACTTATAAGTCTTACAAATTTGTTAAAGGGGAGAGAGAACACTATTGAATTAAAAGTTTCGTATATTTTTGAACTTTGAGAAAAACCGTAATATTTCTTTGTAAATTCCATATTACATTTCGAACAACTCGAAAATTTCTATCAAAGTGCATGTGTGGAAACGCGCATCTTAAGGTTTTAGAAGGCTGAATAAAAGTCGCGTGTTCATCTCGTTATACCCACGACAATGCATCGCACGTTCATGCCGTCATCACGCACGTACCTCTTCGTACGAGCCTTTTTGCGACGCATCACGTCCCGCGGGAGGAGGCCCCGATCCCGTCTTTAAACGCCGGTTGCCGATGTATGTATGTACCTACGACGCGCATACCGCTCTCGCAAAGTAATTTTCGAGAATCCTCTCCGCGCCGATCGTACGGAAAGATGCCGCCGCGTCATTACTGGCGGTTAATAGGCGAACAAGAAGCCCGCGTCTACAGGGTGTT